TAAGGATGCTAAAATTAATGCATTTTGTTGAAATATGCCATTTTTCAAAATCAGTTTTTGTCATATGAGGGCTGTAAACAAAGCCTATCTGACAAGGTTTTTTGTTGATAAGAAAAACATCTTGAAGAAAAAAGTCCATCACTCTCCTATCTTGCTGTCAGCTCCGTCAGTTTTAAGTTTGGGCATCTATTTCTCTATTGATCAATTCCGAAATATTGAGCAGAAAATATGAGAATATTGCATTATGATGTCGGTGAAATGATCAGGGTTACTTTAATAATCTAAAACAGTGATTCTAGTCAGCTGTCATATATATCTGATTCAGATTAACAGACCAATCTGCTTGCTTGAGGCTCATGTGAGATTGAAATCAGGAACAATTTTGATGATGAGAAAATGCTTTTATAGATAGCCTTTACCAATACTTACTGTACCATGGAATGTTGTACCATGGAGTGTTGTACTGTGTAGTGTTGTACTGTGGAATGTTGTACCATGGAATGTTGTACTGTGGAGTGTTGTACTGTGGAATGTTGTACTGTGGAATATTGTACTGTGGAGTGTTGTACTGTCTGTGGAGTGTTGTACTGTGGAATGTTGTACCGTGGAATGTTGTACAGTGGAATGTTGTACCATGAAATGTTGTACTGTGGAATGTTGTACTGTGGAATGTTGTACCGTGGAATGTTGTACCGTGGAATGTTGTACCATGGAATGTTGTACAGTGGAATGTTGTACAATGGAATGTTGTACCGTGGAATGTTGTACCATGGAATGTTGTACAATGGAATGTTGTACAATGGAATGTTGTATCATGGAATGTTGTACAGTGGAATGTTGTATCATGGAATGTTGTATCATGGAATGTTGTACCGTGGAATGTTGTATTGTGGAATATTGTACTGTGGAGTGTTGTACCAAAATAGAGGTGTGTTATGGTAGTTATTATTCGCTGTTCACAGTTCAATAGGGATATATAAGCTACAATTAATTAAAGTATAGTTTACCAACATCAAAAATGTGATTGATTTGAACATTGATTTCACCCCTAGAAGTATATCTTTTTCATATGTTATCATCATTTCTGAGCTGGTAGTAATTTGTAGGTTACATGTAAACCTGTTTATTTTGTGGTAATACAGAGAGTTAGAATTGGGAAAAATGTTCTTCATTTGTGTGGTTATAAATATTAGTGATTAGAAAAAAGCATGATAGATGTGAAGCTTTTACAGACAGCTTTTAAATCCCCTTAATTGACCTGTTCAATGCGTAATTACTCCAAAGGTCAACTTGAACATTTTCGATTTAAATGTCCAGTAATTTCCTGTCAAACTGTCGGTAGAAATACCGAAATTTAGTTAAAACATAGGCAAAGCAAAGCATTAAATATAAAGTGTTATTCCTCTACACTACTTAACTGTTTCATCAGATACTTTTCCACGTAAACCACTTGGGGAATGACAGAGAAATTATAGTAAAGTTACCCAGGTCAGCCAACCAATTTTCTTCCCTATATGGCTGTCGTGTTACATGTCCGTTCAACAATTATCGCGAGTTAAATTTTATTTCAGCTTTCGTTTGACAATCATTAACTTGTCACTTTGGTCACGATTTAATGCAGGCAATCTCTTCATTGACAGAAAAGAGTTCCGAAATTGTTAGAGATTAAACAAATATCGTAGTATATTTTACTGGAAACGGAATTACAGGTTAATGTAGCACCTAATGTTAATTAAAATCGCCAGTGGGGATGTAACATTGTGCTGGATGTAAGGCAGCAGTAGCTAGTTAATGGAGCAAATACTTAGTGTGATAGGTTTAACAGACCAGATTCAGAGTCATTAAAGACAAAGAATTTACGGTAATTCCAACATATGTGTCGTAATACCCATCCAAGGTCGAAACTGAAAGGCAGCTGAAGGACACAAAATTGATATATGTTGGAAAATCATGAAAAGTTGTGTGTGGTGTTTTTTTTCATGATCAATTTCTGGAAATGATTAAGGAATATATCGGAATCAATATGGCCAGTATGTTATTTGGGCTTTTCTATCATGCAATCAAAATTTGTCAAATTTTCTGAGAAATGTGAAATGTATATTTGGGTCAGTATTTCTAAACATGCACACATAGTATCAAATCAATGTTAATATCTTTCTATATTTGAAATATGTTTTCCACTAATTGAAGTTAAAGATATGATCGATTACAAGGCATTTTGGCTTGTTCGTTGCTGGCTTCAAGTGCAAACTTTTCTCGTTCTGATGCTCCCCAGTGTGAAATTAGTCCTCCAGGTGTCACTTTTTCCCTATAAACATGAGAACCTGGTAATTTATAGGTCAAAAGTGCATTCACAATAGCTCTGGAACAGTTACTAGGTCAACATATATGAATATTCTGTTAATAGTCAAGAAATTGGAGGTTGATTGCACCATCAGTGCAACATTATATAACTAATATAATATTGAGAATGTCATTATATAGATTGCACTGTATCAGCCTCTCAATACACCCATGCCTGCTAATAAGCCCACCCATATCAGAACATATGCTGTTCGGTAGAATTTCAAGCAGTTCTAATTCATTTTCCTTCACTAAACCCTAAAACACATAGTGTTGTGTCATGACTGGCCGATCAGTTTCCAGCAGTACCCTTACCTTCGTTTGTTAGCCCTGTATGATTATGTACAACCTCTGGGACCAGAAAATTGGGACCTTACCAAGACTGTTAGTGACTTGGTCCTTTGTTCGACTAAACAAGAAATATAGATATGAGTTATGAAAGATATGAGTTATGAGATATTTAGTTACAACAGACAAAGCCTGTATAGGGATATTTTAACTCTATAAGTCAGCATTTATGATCGTGTAACATATAATTGTATTAGAAAAACCCAGGGGTCCGAATTGTTTCAAAAGGGGTCAAATATGTTTACAACTCACAAGGAAATTTTTGATACATTAGATAACCAGCTTGCCATCTGTAAAAAGGACAAAATTATCGATGATAATGGATATCAGTATATATACACTAATTGTATACATGGAGCAGTTTCTATGTAAAGAATAGAGTTAACGAACTAATTAGCTAGAACTAATGGACTTTAGAGAAAACTTGTCTAATTCTAATGTATCTGGGTTTTGTCAATTCTGCAAAAAGGGTTAATTTCCATTGATGACCCAGTTGTTCAATACTTAAAATACCTGCGTCTGCGATTTACTGGCAATAAGCCCATGCTTGATAATAAGCCCACCAAATCTGTGAAAGATATTGTACAGAAGATTTATGCTTTTGCATGAAACCAAGAAATATAACAGTGACACACAGTGTATTCAACAAGTCTGGCTTAGTGGTATTTTTAACAGTATATCATGTTCAGTATACTATTGTGCATACAGATATGCATAATAAAGATTTGAAACATATTTTAAATCCTTGCAAAATCTCCCTTAACTGCGGACAAGTTATGTAAGCTGTTAAAATAAACATCAAAATAATTAAAATCATGTTGGCAATCGACTATGTTTAACATTCAAATCTTCTCAGCGAAATGTTTATTCAATGTACAAGATTTTCTTTTGCCGATATTGAAATGATACCCTGTCCTTCGTTATGATGTATGTGAGTATTTGGATATAAACAGACAAGTTGTCTATGGTAGCACAGAGAAATACCATAGATCAGTAAGTGAAATATTACAATGATGATTTAACTGACAGGTGTATAGAAGTTGACTATCGGAATATAAATCTCAAACAGAGATGAGCGTTCTGGCCGAGTGGTCATGTGATCATTAAATTTAATCATGTGGTAAGGTGAAAGAATTATCGACAGATATATATAAATGCCAATTGAAACCATTCATACGTAATGCTGTCAATTATTTCGATTTCATTTAAAGAAAAAAAAAAAAAGTTAATTGAAAATGATAATGATCAGAAATACTTTGTACAACATCATAATGATGTCATTATAAAAAAAGGGTTTTAATTTCTTTGTAATAAGGTTTGCTAATATCTTGATTAAATTAGTGACATATTCTTACAGTGACCTTGTGACTTTCGTGTCTGCTTCTGAAACAGACGCCTTTGAGAGCTAATTGTGAAAGGAAAATTACTGTGATGTCACCAAGTTCATTTAAATAAACTGACAAAGGTTCATGGCACAGTTCACTTTGATTAAAACAGTGACGTTCATTGAAAAGAACTAAGCATTAAACATGAAAGAATTAGTGTCTTCATAGGTTTTGGCATCCACCGAATTAAGGTTTTTAAGAAAGTTTGAAGTTATAAGGATCTATCTTACTAAAAAAAAGTCTAACATTTAATAACTATACCAGACTTTATGAAAATTTGCAGAAAAATTCTCATAGAAGTTGACCTACTTAGTGGTTCCATCTAAAATCATATTAGGCTAAATGTGTGTTTATTGATTAAACAAGTTCAGAGGTTGGGTATGAAACAAACCTGGATACCTACGTGTACTTGTGTCTTAGGTCATTTAGGCGTTTTCATTGTCCCTCAAGTTTTGACTGGTCTTTACCCTGGCTGTTATATACTTTCTTGATTCATTTGTCGGAACCAAGAGTTGTTAGATAATATTAATATTTCCACTTAACCCGGACTCATTGAACCTACCAAAGTTTACTCAAGTCATTTTTCAATGTACTCTTAAGTTGGCGTATGAATACATGTTGTTTTTCAAATATGACCTTTTTACCGTCACTAACCTGAAATTGCTCCGTGGAGTATCTGACTATATATTGTATTCGTTCGCAAAGTCGATACTATTTCATGAAATAAAATTCATTTTAATAGTTTTTTCTTCAAACAATTCAATTTTGTTTTTTGTGTTATTATTCTGAATATAACAACTTCACAGTTCATAAAATTTGTCCCAAGACCTATTGAGGTTCATTCCCCCATAAACCTCAACATAACATGATTCAATCCTTAATTAATGTTTCATTAAGTAACCTTTCCATGTTGGTGTGTTTCAGAAGGATACCCTTATGAAGGACCTGGAGCGAGAGAGGATGATTCGGTCAGAAATGGAACATAAACTCCATTCCATGACAGAGGATAACAACAAATGCAGGTCACGTCTTCACTCCCTCCAAGATGAGTTCAAAAGGTCAGTGTACATACATGGCAAGTTTTGTTTTTTCAGGTCAAAGATCATTTTCTTTAGAGTTGGAAGTTGGTGTCTTTAGGGCCAGCAGATTCAAATATTTGTGTCATCAAATCAAAGTTTTACGTCACTAGAGTCAGTCAGAAAATGGTCTTACCAGGGTCAAGAGCTAGGAAGGATTGGTAGTTCTGAAATCTGGCATCAAACATTTTGGTTCTACAGAAATGGCTTTCACCAATGTGCAAAGTTGGCAAGGAAGGCATCTCTAGGGTAACAGCTGAAGGTCAAAGGAGTGGTAGAGGACTATGCGAAAAAGAGTTCAACCCCTTTGTAAGGAGTGGTAGAGATGTGTCTAGCAGGGACAATGGGAACAAAGAGTTCACCCCATGTGGAAGGAGAGGTAGAGGTGTGTGTAGTAGGGACTAAGGCAGAAAGATTTCACTCCATGTTGAAGGAGAGGTAGAGTTGTGTGTTGTAGGGACTATGGCAGAAAGATTTCACTCCATGTTGAAGGAGAGGTAGAGTTGTGTGTAGTAGGGACTATGGCAGAAAGATTACATGTACGTCTGCTATCATGATCTGGCTTAATATGATGTTGAACATTCTGTGGTGTTAAGGTGTTGATGTTTCTAACAGATTGTATTAAAACAAGACATAGTGGTACGAACACCTCATCAAAAGTAGATTCTCTGTCAAAAACAAAAAGTTTGACGAAGCTCAAAGGATGAAACGATATCATTGCTGTGTTTATAGGATAATACATGGAATGATGAAAAACCATGTTTCGGTTGAACAAGTCTGACTGTTTTTTTTTTTTTGTGTGTGATATTAAATATTTATAATCAATGTCGGGAAACTTGTACCCCAGCCATTCATGCATATTTGATCCTTTCAAACAGCAGACTTGTTGCTGTCTTGCTGGGGCTGGATGGCTTTGGTAATAAAAGAAACGAAAACTTCAAAATGTTAAAAAAATTTGCTGATGTGCATGCACATCAATCCCATGCAGATAACCTGTGATAGAGTTTCATCAGGTAGTTGGAAAAATCCACATGACATTGCTTAGTAACAAATGTCAGCAAACAGTTTAATATGGGGGAAAATATTACACCAATTCAAACCATATGACAATGCATCAGAATGAGAGAGAAAAAAAAAAAACATACTTACCTTACAGATAAAGCATGAGTTGAAATATATCTATAGCCACACTTACAGCTACAGGTAAGGAAACACTGAAACGTTATCAAAGCTGTATGGAGATTAAATCAGGGTTGTTGTGTCCATTGGTAGCCAGGTGCTATGTCATCTGGTACAAATTTTGAATCATTTACATTGTAAAAATGTGTTGACTTTTTATCATTAAATAAGAAATTTTGTAATTTTGTTTTTCGTGTTTCAATTATGATAATTTGTTTCGTATTCTTTGCTTGATCTTTTTGCTCTAATTGAGTCCAAGGCCAATGACCTTCAACTCATTTTCAAGGTTACTTCTAGAGTTTTTTGACCTCGTCTCCAATATCAGAACTCTTACACTTGTCCTTGTAGTTTTCATTTTGACACCACATATTTGCTGTCTATAGAAATCTCCATGATAAAATCAACAAAATCATATATATAGGATAACAGCACTTGACTTTATTGGAACGTTCCTGTCAGAACTCAAAATCCCTATGGATATTTTTTCTTACTGATGACTTAAATAGCTGTTATCTTGATTAACATTGAAGTGTGTTGGAATTATAGTACCAAGTAAGTCATCAGTTTTATCAATGCCTCGTTGTAATCCCTGGATTAAATTAGTGTTAAATCTCTAGATTCTACCATATATCTGCATTCCATGTTAATTGATGTTTTGGTGTAAATAAGCAGCCTGGACCACCTGCGAACGTGCCCTCTCGACCACCCTGTCATCCAAATCTCTGCCTCACAGCACAGATCCCCATCAGAATCCATTTGGTGGTGTCAATTCAATATTTCATTTGTACTCTTATACCAGGCTCTGTCAGTCAAGCCCTATAACAGACCAGATTGGTTATCTCCCTTTGACAGTAGTGTATGTGAGGTAAATTGCCAAATGATATCTGTAGATTTGTTTTTACTTTTTTATGTCTTAGAGACGGAAGGTTTTTCCATGTAGATTCATCGTCCTGAGCTGCAAAACTCTAAGGATTAAAGAGATAAAAAGTCCTATCTGTTTCACTCCTTGAGAGGTCTACTGACTGTAAACAAAATTAGCAGTAACGTGATCGGCACTTTGCATGATTCTAAAAGACTGCCAGAACTTTAGATTATGTATGGAATTTGGCTGTTACATTTAATTCTGATAGATAGACTAATGCTTACTATGGTGTGTGATTAAAACCGTGAATGCCTAGAAATAATGTGTGGACAAAAAACTTGTCCATAGCAACAACCTATGCCTGGTATATCAGCAGCTTAAAGTCATAAAACTCCAAACATTTCAAAAAATACTTCTTGACTAATGTCTGATCAAGCTTGCACTGTGTTAGATTTTCATCAGCATATCTTTTGTTTTGAAATTTAATATGGTTATTTCAATGGTCTTGAAAATAATGTAAATGATGTTATTAGTGTAAAGGTCTGTAATCAGTGCAGGACGGATTTTTTAATCAGTTTCTTTTTCAAAATATCCCGATAGTTTATTGATAACTTGTAAAGTATAGTTAGCTTAATATTAAAAGATTTAAATGTGCTAATTGCTGTTTGGTCATGGAGGTATCAGTTTCATAGTCACGTTAATCAGTCTTTTGATGTATAGACTTGAATATCTGTCTTGTGCATGCAAGTCTCCAGTCTAACCTGTTGCATAAATGGACACATGTATTTGCAGGGAAGTATTCTTGAGATAAACCATCCAATAAAGACAATATTTGTGCTTAAATCTAGCTGTCTGATTTCCCTCAAGGCAGGATATTAAGTTAATTACACAAATTGATAAGAGTACACAAGATTATTATTTAATCATTTCCTTGTTAGAGCTAAATTCCAAATAATGATCCCTTCAATAATATGCATGTAGTTGAAATGGCTGAATAGTAAATTTTCTAATGGAGATGATAGTAAATAAGTTTATTTACCATAAATTGACAAACTATCAACATTTCATGTTAAATCTTTGAAAAATCTTTTTTAGTGATACAATAAATGCTGGTTATGGAAACAAAGCTGATCGTAAATATAAGGGAGGCAGTATGTTATATGTAAATATATAGCAACACAGGATGGTTTTATTAGTGTTGTCCGCGATATCTATCCTGAAAAGATACGTCTATAATATATATGGTCTGATAAGTGGTATCCCTGGGCACACATAAATATTGACGGAGGATTTGCTCTAAACATTAACACTTAACAGTTGTATTAAATACCTCTGGGAATTGATGATAAAAAAAAAAATGGCAAAAATTGGTAAAAAGGCATGTGATGAAGTTAAACTTATAGCTAACAAGGCGATGAGACTGTCGACAAAACCAGTCAGGAAAGTGGTCTGTCTCCAATACATCACTGCAACGAAATGCCTGCATGACGCGGAATGGCGACACAGATGCAATTGCTTCTTGTTGAGAGAAATCTCACTTCTGCTCTCTATTGATCTTTGGTGATCCAACCAAACATCACAGCTGACAAAACATCTCATTGTAACGATGGCACGGCCATAAATTTGGACAAACTTGTATCATAAGGAATTAGTGTAACGTGTCGTCTTGTCCTCTAAGGTCCCTACCACGACTCGCTGGAGCCAGAGCAGGTTCAGGGGGGCACACTGTCATGATGCTAGCCCAAATACTCTGGAACCAAAGTCACAAACCAGGGGAGAAGCGATTATTCCTCATTGATTATCAATGAGAAAGAGCCCTTGAGGGAGAAGCATCAGATATAATGGAATTTAATTTTTCGACAAAGCTGTTTGGTTAGGTTTAATTATAAACATTTTAGAAAAATTTATAATATCTTTTTTTTTAATTATAAAAAAAAAAAGATAGTAATATTTTAGCTTTATAAGGAGTCATCACTATAGCTATGGGAAACAGTCTCCAGGATTTCAACAAATATGTCTGCAGTATCAGTCACCTGGGAAAGGAACTGTTTGTTGAATTTCTCAAATAAATCTTGTATTTCATAAACAATTTGATAAGAACTTAAAAAGCCTTAGTGGTTTTGCCTTCTTTGTGAAAGACACAAGTTGCATGTATAATTTCAGATTTGAAACAAATAGATTGTGAATTAGATAAATACATCCTTAAGTAAACTATCAAATTATTGATTTTTTTTTTTTCTAATGAAAATAATTAATTGTTTGAAAAAAAAATGGTTTAAATTTAAACGGAGAAAACAATTACATTGATACAGAAAATTTTCAATTTGTATATCGGTGATATTTCTGTATGTTTAAGTATACTATATAAAGATATATTTGCCTTCGGGAATTCATCCAGAAAATTTGTATTGACATCGGTAATCAAGACCTCGAGACAAAATACACTTATGTTGATACACTATTGTTTTGTCATTGAAAAAGCTGAAATACTTACCTGCGTCATCACGTTTCAAAGAGGTTTATAAATAGAAAGATTGTTGATATAATCATGGGATCTATTTGTTTCTTTACATACATACTTTTAACAGGGACTTACAAAGAAATATCGATATTTTTGTAGATGTGAGGAGCCGGGAATCCTCCACTGTTCAAAAGGTGGACCTGGGATTTGTGTCGGTTCACAAATAGTCTAACTCTATCTCTGTACAAATCTTTATAGTATAGATATTTCACACTAAACACTTTGTGTCAAACAATAGGCCGGTGTAATCTACGTGTACAGCTGACTTATTCTTACAGGCATACAAAATTTCATAAAGGGGAGAAGACGTGTGATATGACAAGATTTTGTTCAATTAGACGAAACGTTGATAATCGTGCCTTATCAATGAATATTTTTTATCAGCTACAATGGCTTTAGAGAAAAGTATTGAAACACGTC